ACTTACTTAATTTGAAGTATCAGTATTGAAAGCCAAGCATAACATAAACAAGTCACGTCAACAGTTCCACTCCCATTTAAAAACTAAAATATAGAAAGTCAGCCCACTAAACAAGTTTTATTTCGCTTTTCTAATTTTTAATAAATAAACATAAAATTCTGTTATTTCACTTATTTTTAATACATTTTTTTATTATATTATTGTTTTACTTTTACTACAATCTTACTGTTGTTATTCTACATTAAAAATAATGAAAAATTGCTGTTATGCCTTTTAAAATTTACAGGCTTCTTGCTGTGAGGTAAGAAATGATAACGTTTTATTACAAAAACCGAAAATTGTTAAAATAATCCCTATCTAATGCTTTACTTATTTTTTTACAAAGTATTTTTTATGTAGGTATTTAGGTGTTATACATTTTTGGTCATCGCTAATATTCATTGAGTCTGAATTATTTTTATGTAGTAATAAAATTTGTCTATTATTATAGAGTTATACATACCTCGTCGAAAAACTACATACAGTAATTCTTTTATAGGAATGATATATTTTGTATTGGACATTAATAAATATACAAATTTAATGTTGTCATATAGGTAGAGCGACTTATTAGCAAAAATTATTTGAAATGTATACAGTAATGAGGTATTTTTTTATAGGTTCAACAAACCAAGATGGGCCCTTTTTAATATAATTGCTTATATTTAATTTATTTTGTAAATAAAATGTCATACTTTTATTATTATTTATTTTTTAATATATAATATACATTACATGACAACAAAAAACATTGGTGCAGTTTTAATAACAAAACTCGTCTGTTTTGAATAACTCTGTGCTAAAACTATATAATATGTAGGTATGTTATATTATCCATATTCCTTACTGGTGGAATCCCATTAACGTCCAAATGAAATAATTTAAGCATACGTGTATGTATCTACGTCTGGAATTAATTTTATTTTTTCAAACAGGTACCTCCATAAATACAATATTATATTAAAATACAACTTAACTAATCAACTCTATTAGGGTATAAAACCTTAAAAATATAAATAAATAAACAAACACATAACCTAACAAAATGCCAAAAGACGGATTTGACAGGGGTTCAAGGTCAATTTTATGCTTTTAAAGCAAACAAGCGAGTTTATTTTCGCTTTTATGCTTCTTCAAAAGCGCTGCAGCGGTTGACAGTTCATCGTCACCGCTTACTCAGCGTTACAACATGTTTGACGACGATGAACACGGCCATTGGAATGAATTGGGTTATTGGTTCGGTCAGTCATATGTCATTTTGGTGTAAATTTAAATACCACGTGTGACTCATTTTTAAAGTTATTTCTCAATTTTATTTTCTTTTAATTTTTTGTGTAGTTAGTTATTTGCCAAAGAAAACACTAAAGCTATATGATATAGAAGAAAAATATTAACTAACTTAATATTTTATTTATAACTAAATATTAACTAACTTAAGTCTTTAATATAAAAATATAAATAAAATAGACACTACCGACAGGGCAATTAACAGACGAAAATAATAGGTACTAACTAATTTAAAACTCTTTAAAATAAAATAGAAATAAAACCGACACTACCGACAAAGCGATGCAGACCTTTTTCTAGCGATAAACAGAATGATAATCTTCTTTTGAAAAATAGTGGCACATTTTTTGAATCTCATTTCAGTCCAAGATTTAGGGGCCTATTCAGTAACTCTGAACGACGTCGTTAATAGACGATAATCGTTCACAGACGACTTTTCTTATTCAGTAGACAACGATTGTCGTTGAAAATAGACAAATATGGTTGTAAAATTGTCGTTCATCAACGATAGCCACAGAGCTGTCGTTAATAATATGAAGTGTCGTTATAGTAATTTTTCCATTCCCTCTCATTTTTCATTGTGAACCAGAATGTGTTCTAAATAATAAATGCACTTTTATACAAATTTTACAACTAAATTGCCATCTAATACCTACAGCAAGTACAATTTGTAAGGAATTTTTTTCTAATTTATTTAATTATTTTAAAAATAACTCGGATTCAAAGTTAGGATTGCCCATTCAACCATTTACTATTGGATTCTTATTAACAGTGCTGTTCCTAAAGTAGCACTGCGAAACAGTAACAAAACCTATATTTTGGAAGTACACCCATAATACTTCTCCGTAACCTACACAAATTTGGTCTGTCTTTCAAATCCAATAAAAAATACAACTTGTATCGTTCTCGAGTTGTTTTTTGTATTTTGGAATAGTTCTCAGTTTTTTTTAATATATCAATATTAATTTAAATAAACCCTACATACAATACGACCAGCAAAAATCGCCCGCAAGAAACAGAATTCCTACGAATCGAGAATCGACCCCCTGATCGTGTTGTAGGTTAAGAACAATAATTAATATATTCTGAAAAACAAATATGAATATATCTACTGGTAGAATTTTTATTTTACGGTCCAAAAAAATCTCAAATATACCGGGTGTTCTAATTAAAGGGTTACAGTTAAATACCGAATTTTATAAAAAAAAAACAAAGTTTTATAGTTTTTTTGGGTGTTACTCAATAAGTAGAAATCCAATAAAAAAATGTTTCCTTTAGAAGTTTCTTATTTTATGAAAAAATAGGGTTCCAATTTGAAAAAAAATCCACCTCGATATGGCCATATTATGGTCAGCTATAAAAAAATTAATTTAGCCAAAATGTTTCCCTTAAAAAACTATAAAACTTTGGTCTGATACTTTTTTTTATAAAAGGCATATTTTTGGCGATATTTAACTGTAAAACTTTAACTTAAACACCCGGTATAATCATCAACATACGTTCTTTTATCACAAAACACTAAATTATAATACCAACTTACTAGAAATCATCGTTCAGATTTGGTAACTAGAAACAACGTAACGACTTTGTTATTGAATAGAGTTTCAAAAATTATCGTTATAAAAGTCGTTGGTTAAACTGTCGTTAGCTTAACGATGTCGTCCATAAACGATAAATTACTGAATAGGGCCCTAAGGGCCCTATTCAGTAATTTATCGTTTATGAACGACATCGTTAAGCTAACGACAGTTCAACCAACGACTTTTATAACGATAATTTTTGAAACTCTATTCAATAACAAAGTCGTTACGTTGTTTCTAGTTACCAAATCTGAACGATGATTTCTAGTAAGTTGGTATTATAATTTAGTGTTTTGTGATAAAAGAACGTATGTTGATGATTATACCGGGTGTTTAAATTAAAGTTTTACAGTTAAATATCGCCAAAAATATGAATTTTATAAAAAAAAAGTATTAGACAGAAGTTTTATAGTTTTTTAGGGGAAACATTTTGGCCAAATTATTTTTTTTATAGCTGACCATAATATGGCCATATCGAGGTGGATTTTTTTTCAAATTGGAACCCTATTTTTTTACATAGGTATTTTTAGAGTTCATAAAAAAATAAGAAACTTCTAAGGACCGATTCCACCGTTGTGTTAAAATCGGCCCTAAAGGAAACATTTTTTTTATTGGATTTCTACTTTATTGAGTAACACCTACTTGAAAATTTTGCTGCGCGAAAAAAAGTTGGCCATATTATGGTTTGCTATAAAAAAACATTTTTAGCCAAAATGTTTTCCCCAAAAAACTATAAAACTTTGTTTTTTTTTATAAAAGGCGGTATTTAACTGTAACCCTTTAATTTGAACACCCGGTATATTTGACATTTTTTTGGAACTAGTAGATATATTCATTTGTTTTTCAGAATATATTAATTATTGTTCTTTGAACACCCGGTATATTTGACATTTTTTTGGAACTAGTAGATATATTCATTTGTTTTTCAGAATATATTAATTATTGTTCTTTAAACCTACAACACGATCATCAGGGGGTCGATTCTCGATTCGTAGTAATTCTGTTTCTCGCGGGCCATTTTTGCTGGTCGTATTGTATGTAGGGTTTATTTAAATGAGTATGGATATATTAAAAAAAACTGAGAACTATTCCATAAGAATACAAAAAACAACTCGAGAACAGTACAAGTTGTATTTATTGGATTTGAAAGACAAACCAAATTTGTGTAGGTTACGGAGAAGTATTATAGGTACTTCCATAATATAGGTTCTGTTACTGTTTCGCAAAGAACAGCACTGTTAATAAGAATCGAATAGTAAATGGTTGAATAGGCAATCCTAACTTTGAATCAGATTTATTTTTAAAATAATTAAATAAATTAGAAAAAAATTCCTTACAAATTGTACTTGCTGTATTAGGTAGATAGCAATTTAGTTGTAAAATTTGTAAAAAAGTGCTTTTATTATTTAAAACAATGAAAAATGAGAGGGAATGCAAAAATCACTATAACGACACTTCATATTATTAACGACAGCTCTTTGGCTATCGTTGATGAACGACAATTTTACAACCATATTTGTCTATTTTTAACGACAATCGTTGTCTACCGAATAAGAAAAGTCGTCTGTGAACGATTATCGTCTATTAACGACGTCGTTCAGAGTTACTGAATACGCCTCTTAATCTTAATGGTGTTAAAATAAACACACACACGGCCTTGAAGATTTCATCTCAAATACTAAACATTTCTAGGAAGTTTTGTCGATCACTACATATTTTACTTTTATTAACATTATTGTCCAAGTTCTTTTTTCCTTATTCATATTTATAAGAAAAGTGTGTAGTAAGATCTATTTTCTTAGTTGACCTCGTACGGAACTATTTAGGATCCGCGGGAAAACTAAATTTAAAAAGTTAGACAATGAGAAGAATACTATTTAAATAAGGATAGAACATACCGCAAATTAGAACCGACTCGCGAGGCTGGTTCAAAAATGTTAACCAAATGGTTATAAGTGACGTCATTGTTTATGAAAGGAATATGGTTGGTTCTAATTTGGTTAACTAGAACCGGAACCAAACCCCAAAGGAAAATGCATTATAGATTGAACCATGATTCCATGATTGATTGAACATTACATTTTAAATTAAAAGATGAACGTTTTAGAATTATACAGTGGTATCGGTGGAATGCACTTAGCTTTAAAAGGTACAAACAGAATAACATGTTTGCATAAATTATCTAATAAATATTTTTTGTTTAGAAAGTGGATTTGAGTACAATGTTGTTGCTTCAATTGAAATAAATAATGTAGCTAACAGTATATATGAATTAAATTTTCCAAATACCGTTTTGTACAACTTAAACATCGAAGGTCTAACTTCAGAATTTATAAATAAGTTAAAAGTAGATACAATCTTGATGTCTCCACCCTGTCAGCCTTTTACAAGAAATGGTTTACAAAATGATATAAATGATCCAAGAACAGCATCTTTCATTCATGTATTGAAACTTCTTCAAGATTTGGAAATAAAACAATTACTTATAGAAAATGTAAAAGGCTTTGAGAAATCAGAAATGAGGATGTTACTGGTTGATACCTTATCGAAAAATGGATTTAATTATCAAGAGTTTATTATAAGCCCACATCAAATTGGAGTACCAAATACAAGGCACAGATATTATTGTTTGGCTAAAAAATCTCCAGGATTTTCTTTTAAAGTAGGACCTTTGGTAAGTTACTAAAACATTGTCAAAAGTAATTTCTATAAAACCAGTAATTTTATAATCATTTTATTTTTAGAGGGAAGGCTTGCCTGCAGAACATGAAATTCAAGAGTGCTTCACTATAGAAAATATTTTAGAACAAAGTATTGAAGAACATTACTTTTTATCTGATAAAATTTTGCAAAAGTACCATGGACTTTTAGATATATGTTATAAGAATTCTAAAAGATCTTGTTGTTTTACAAAAGCATATGGTAGATTTATTGAAGGCACTGGTAGTGTTTTCACAGATAAAAATGAAAGTGAAGTTACTGAAATTTTAAATAAAATAAAAACACAACTAAGTGAAGATGTAAAGTTGCAGTTATTAAAATCTTTAAGTCTAAGATTTTTTACTCCAAGAGAGGTATGCAGACTTATGTGTTTTCCAGATAGATTTATTTTTCCAGAATATGTTGGTAATAGGAAAAAATATATGGTTTTAGGAAATAGCATTAATATTAAAGTTGTTTCAGAACTAATAAAATTGTTGAATAGTTATAAAATAGTTTTAATTTTGATTAAAACATTAACATTTGTTCGCGGTAAGAATCCTGAAATGAAATAATACTAACAGGAACAATTTCACATGGGCAGTAAAAAGCATTCATGGAACAAGAAAAAACTGTATTATTGCTATTGGTTCTTTTCTGTGTCCGTGGTAAAATTATTAGTTCTGAACCTGCTGTGTTTTGATAATGAATCAGGCATGCATAATGAATTCATAGTTCTGAATCACACATACAGTTTTAATAATAAAAGATTAGAAATTAGTTTTATTAAAAAAAAGAATAATGAATATGTTATATACGTGAAAAAAATAAATACAAATACAGTTTATTCTACTTATTATTAAACTTCCATTCTTGTCTACACATGGGGCACTGCTGATTAACAGGTTGAGATTGTAGCCATTTAACAATACAATGCATATGAAAGCAATGAGAACATTGTCCCCACACTAACGGACAGTCATCACCAGGCAGTTTGCAATCTGGACAACATCCGTCGAAGGGCATTCTGCAAATACCACAATTATCGTCGTTGGCCACCCATCTCCAACTGGCAACACCTGTCCAATTTTTTATCCTCACTTTCATTTTCTAATAACAAGGTTCAAAAGTGTTAATTAACCATACCATTAGTAATTATTATCATAAAGATGCAAATTTACCAAAATCACATATTTGTTCTTTGTATTATATTTGATTTGAGGTTAATTGAACGTCATTGTCAAATTCAAATAAATCGTGAAGGATGATATAAACAGAAATAACCATCGAGACGGGTAATATACAAAATTAGTTCTGCCGACCGCTCATGGAACATATGGTTCTCTCCTTTTCTCATAGTATTTGTAGATTTGACCGTCTCATTTCCGCAGCATGAAAGGTTGGATTATAGGTGTCGCTACCACATTCTATTTCCGTTGTAAATCTATTCGTTATTTTTTTTTTGTCATAAATCTGTCATCTGTCAACAGTTCAGATTTGGATTTGTTTTGTCGTGATTGGTGTTTTGAAAATGAAAAGTTTTTAAATGTGGCTATTTTTATATTATAGTGTTTTCATGCAAATTTATTTTGTTGTATATATAATAATTTTTGAAACTAGAATAGTTTAGACCTTTATAAAGAACAATGTCACCACTTTGTTTAGTTTGTGGATGCAGTGAAGATGAAGTAATAAAAATGCATTACTTTCCCAAGAATTCTGTAAAGTAAGTACTTTAATATCTTGGTACATACTTTTAGAATCTCATATTTTAAAATATTATTGTTTAGATGCAGTTTATGGTTTGCTGGCCTGGGTCTTCCATATCTCGGAGGAGTAACGCGAAATTCCCGAATCTGCAATAAACACTTTAAACAGACTGACTACGTAAATAATATTATTTGGACATTAAAACGTGATGCATTACCAATGAAATTCGTGGATCGGCAGACAACTCGAAATGATACAGATTTGTTGAGCAAAGATATAAGTAAGTTGATATTTACCTTAGATTGCCAGTGTATGTAAATTTGAAATATATATTTTCAAAAGTCTTATATATCTCATCTCTACTATCTGCTTCTATACCATTGACAGTCTAGCTGTGCTTTCCTTAGTATGTCCATTTAATAATGTTAAAAGTGTGTCAATTTACGGTAGCTCTAAGATAGGGTTTTGTTACTTTTATAGTTCCTATATGTATGTTTAATTCACATATCTGGAAACTATAAGATGTTACCTCAAAACAGTCTATAAACAGAGTGGGAGGAAATATATGTCTAACAGTATCCAAGAAGGAACTGGAAAGAATGTTCATATGTTCTCATATCAAAAAAAAATGACAAAAATAAAGTATGTTTTGCATGAAACTTATAGGTATGTGGTGATCATGAGATTAAGAGGTGTCTAACATATTTAAAAATAGTATGTAAAGCAGTAATATTTTAAAATATTATTTTTTAATAAATTGGCTCAATAAATATAACAGTTTCTTACTCTTGAAAATGAATAGATGTATTACTGGTAACAAAAGACTATTGAATAAAGCTGGCAGTCTAGTTTAGTTACAATTATATTATTTTGCAATAAAATTAAATGACAATTTATTTTGTAGTAGTGTAAATACATATATTTTATTAAATAATTTGTAAGTGGATGCAAAATTCAAAAACAAAGTAACAAATATGAGTTGTAACAGTTAACTTATATTTTATAATACGTTCATTTAGTGTGTGACACTGGTTGAGGAAGGTCATAGCATAAGATTACAAAGTGTCAATTTGAATAGCACAGCTCTCATTCAAATTATTAAAGCTTGATTTTGAAGTTGAGTAATTTAATTATTTAACAAATAGATGAGTTATTCTATCAATTTTGTTTTTTTTTTATATTATATTTATTTTGAGAAATTTTAACTCAATTTATGCGAAGCATGATTTTTGAAATAGGGATGATTAATTAGCTGACGGATATTACCGCAAAACTAAAATACATGGAGGAACTGTTATTTTTGTCAAAAATTCCTTAAATTTTAAAAAACTAATTTTTATTAAAAGTTTCTCTGAAGAGTGTCTGTTTGAATGTTATGGAATTACATTTAGCCTAAATAATATAAAATGTTGTATAATATGTATATATAGATCGCCTGAAAGTTCCACTGAATTATTTTTACATAAAATGTGTGACGTTTTAACTGTTCTGTACAATTCTTATGATACTGTAATGGTATGTGGAGATTTTAATATAAATTTTTTAATTGAAAGTCGTGAAAAAAAGCTGTTAATGGATGTAATGGAGAGTTTTAATTTACAATGTCAAAATGTAGAACTGACCAGAGTGTCACTTGACAAAAATGGGAAAATTTCTAATTCAAATATAGATTATTTTCTAACAAATTGTAGTTACGATTACAAAGAAATAGTACAAGACTTTTATTTAGGCGATCGCTATGGGCTTACTATAACGCTAAATCACTCTACACATTCACAAAAAGAAAATAACATGAAAACTGTTTCATTTAGAAATACTTCATATACAAATTTATGTAGTCTATCCTTGAAAATGTCACAGGAAGATTTCTCACTTGTTTTTGAAGCTCCATTGGATATTGATGAGATTTATAATACATTTTTAATGATAATTTCCTACCAGGTAAATCAGTCCAATGGTAAATAAAAATTACTTGAAAACAGACGTAATACAAGTGGGTAAATAATGAGATTGTAAAAATGGGAAATAATTTAAAAAATATGTATTGGCTCACAAAAAATGTTTCTGATAGTCATATATTGGAACGATACAAAATGCACAAAAAATTAATAAATGCTAAAAGCAATTTTTTTAAGAAAATTTAACAAACAAAAATATGCAACAAAAGCAAAAAATTGATTGGAAAACTGTTAATTCCAAACTGAGAAATGTGTAGGTCAACAAATGTTATCTTTTCTAAAAAAAAATTAATATCTTAACTGAACATCAACATGGTTTTCTTCCAGACAGGTCCACGGAGAGTGCAACTACTGCTTTCTTCAACTATATATATCGACAGCTAGATAAGGGGCAGTATGTGGGTGTACTCCTTTTTTACTTGTCCAAAGCTTTTGACACAATTGACATATCCATTATCCAAAATAAATTACATGCATTAGGTTTCAGGGGCATAATTTTAAAATGGCTAAGTTCTTGTTTAGATTCACCTCAGATATGTGTAAAAGTGGGTAACTGTAAATCAGAATTGAAAAGTCTAACCCGAGGAGTGCCACAAGGCTCAGTTTTGGAACCACTAATATTTTTGTTGTATGTAAATGATCTTCCCCAGCATGTGTCTGCAGATTAACCCATACTCTATGCCGACGATACAACTTTAGCATCTCATGCTACTTCTCCAGATGAGCTGCAGAAGAAGCTTCACTTAGTAGCTTCAGATTTTTCAACTTGGTTTAATAAAAATTCCTTAATCTTAAATTCTGATAAAACAATTGTTCTTCAGTTTTTTCAAGGAATAGAATTTATGATAATATATGTGTAAAGGTAAGTTGCAATGGTGTCTACTTGTTGCAGAAAACAAAATTTCTGGGGGTACTGCTAAATTTAACCAACTTCTACAGGCATATTATGCAATTGTATATTCACACATATCTTACAATATTACACTTTGAGGAAATTCTCCTGCTGCTACAAGAGTATTTATTGCATAAAAGAGAGCAATTAGACTTATCTGGAATCAAGACAAACATGCAGGGATCATTTTATTAAACATCACATACTCACTCTACCCTCAATATATATTTATAAGACAATCTTACATACAAAAAAAAATAAAGCTAAAATTTTCAGGAACAATGATTGTCACAATTATCCCACTCGTAATGGCAATATGTTATGTACAATTAGGCATGTATCTGCTCTCTATGAACAAAGTCTTGAGTATGCAGGAATTCAATTATTTAATAAATTGCCAGCTGATATAAAAAAACATAAAATCCATTAACAGTTTTAAACAAACATTAAAAAAAAATTAGTAACAAAATGTTTTTATAATATTAAGGATTATTACTAGGTAACGTAATATAATATGTATGTATGTGTGTGTATACAGTGAGCATCATAAGTCTTACCCCCCCCCCCCCTAACTAACTCGTTACTGGGGTCTTGTTAGGAAAATCGCCGAGACAGGTCGATTTTTGATTTCTACAATGTACATTTTTGCATGATTAGTTTACCCTTAATTTAATCCCTTACTGGAGGGTAGCAACCCTTTCGAAAAATTTAAATGGCATGGGGTGGTGAGCGATAGCTCATTTGAAAGGGGGTTTTATTCTCTATTCAACGGTGCAAAATTTTTTGAAATTACGTGTTGATTTATTAATGTTTAAAAATAACAAAACCTCACAAAATAGGAAAGCAACTACACTAACAGTGACCTTCTAATGGCAAAAAGTCTTACTTCACGTCTGAACCAAAACCGAAATCGACGTGTCTCGGCGATTTTCCTAACAAGACTCCAGTAACGAGTTAGATAGGGGGGGTAAGACTTATGGTGCTCACTGTTTGTATATGTGTATGTATGTATATTTTAATGTAGATTTTAAATTGTGTTTTGTCCACTACATGCGTATCTTGACATATCCTACATCATTGTATAGTGATCAAAAAGGACCAATAAAAATTTATTATTATTATTAATTAACATACTTAAAGCATAATATATTTAATTTATTAAATTATATAATCATACATAACTTCACTTATTTTAATTTTACCTATTGTAACTTTTGTTTCAACAATTTTTTTTATAGAAAGAGAAATGGTAATTTCATGTTGGGCACCTGAATGCACACATAATAGTCTCAAGGACCCATGCAAATTTTTCACATTCCCATGTATTCCGACCAGGCGGAAAAGATGGTTACAATTGATAAGGTATAGTAAAGTTAGAAGTATGATTTCAAATCTCATAATAATTGTTATTTAAAATAATTAGACGTGATGGAATACCAGGGATTGGTGAGCTGATGTGTAGTTGTCATTTTCGAGATGGAAATGAGGTCAACGATCCAGAGATCTTTGCACACAATGAGCAGAAATTGTTCAAAGAACATTATTTGTCCCAGGAATACACGACAATGAGGAAAAATGCAAAGAGGAAATTGGATATCTCTCATGAAAAGTAATTTTTTGTTAAATCTTCACTTAATAATAATATTTCTGTAATTTTTTTACCATTTTTAATAGTACAGAAGTAATTGATGGATATTCTTCACAAGATGAACCAATGGTTAGTCCATCTACAAGCGAACCAATGCCTGGTCCATCTAAAAGAGAACCAATGCCTGGTCCACCTATAAGAGAATTAATACCTGGTTCATCTACAAAAGAAGCAGGTGAGAAGTGAGCAGTTCTCAGTGATAGTTATTATGTTAATAGGGAGTAGAAGGTTTAGGGGAAGGAGAATTTTATTGTCATGCCATTTTTATCAATAGCATCCACTTGAAGAAAAATATTTATACATTTTTATTATTTGTAGATATTATTATGCTCAAAGCTGAAAACGATCGGTTAAAATTGGAAGTAGAGAAATCAAAAGAAATAATAAGAACTATGCGTTTACATTTTTCTTATACACACATCTGCGAAAATGATGCATTAATTTTAGAATACACTGGGTTACCTAATCGAAAGATATATGAAAGTTTACTCTTTGTTCTGCAAGATTTGGACATAAAATATTATTTGGAAAGGAAGGTATTTGTCTTCTATAATACTAATTAAAATACTTAATAATTACTATAGTAAATCATAAGTTTTAAGCAAATATTTTATTTTACAGGTTGAAAAACTAAACTTGCAAGACCAAATATTGATAGCTTTAATGAAATTAAGGCATAATTTTACCCACACTGATCTGGCATATAGATTTAATGTGTCCACAGCAACTATAACAAATGTTGTGGTCACATTCATTCATTTATTTCATGATGTGTTATTTGTGAAATTGATGGGTAGAATACCTAAACACTCAAAAAACAGATCATGTTTGCCAAATTGTGCCAGCACGTTCACCAACTGTAGAATTATTCTAGATTGTACTGAAGTATTTTCTGCAGTTCCACGACACTTGATGAAACATCAGAAGTATGTTCTTATACCTATTTTTTTATGATATCAATAAACTTGATGTATATATCTATTTTCAGAATTGCCTACAGTGCAAACACACATAGGAGCACTCTAAAAGCTTTAGTAGGAGTAGCTCCGAATGGAGTTATCACCTATGCCAGCAACCTTTTCCCTGGATCGACTTCTGATAAAATAATTGTGAAGAGTTGTGAAATTTTAGATCAAATGGAACCAGGGGACTTAATTTTGACTGCCAAAGGACTTTTAATTAAAGATATTCTACCAAATGGGGTAACAGTTAATGCACCTCCATATTTGTCAACTGAGCAAATTACACCTGAGCAAGTGCGTCGTATAGAATGTATTGCTAGAGCCACAATTCACGTAGAAAGGGCAATTAAGAGGATGAAAAGTTATAAAATTTTGAGTTTTATTCCAGCTGAGATGTTTAAATATAGTACAATTATTTTTAAAACTGTGGCAGCATTAACCAATTTACAATACCCCTTGATTAAAGAGGTTTCACAGTTTTACACAGACAGTGAAATAAAATCATGAATATTTGTATATTTTTTTTACCTTTTTAGAACAAAATATGATATGTATAGAAGTAATCATAACTATTTTTTCTATACACACATGGATATTAGCATATCTACTGACACACTACAAAACGAAACAGTATGCTATTGCATTCAACTGAACAAATATATTTCATATTATATATTCTAGGTAGTCAAAAAATACAATCTACCAATCACAATTTATCTTTTGGTCAACCAACTGCCATTATTTTTAAAATTTTAAACGGGCGACAATTTTGGCAAACTAATTGTCACTATATTTTTTAGTTATTCAGAATAAATATACATTAAAATGAGTTATTCTTGAGTAGAATCGATAAATAATAGCATTAGTCACTAAAACAAATGTTTTTTTATTCAGTATGGGTTCTCGTTGAATTTTGTCATTGTTTCGCAAAACCGAATTCGTCTGTCCGGATCATCGTCACCAAGTTCTTGCAAAATGTTCATTTTGTACGGGTGAAATTTGTGCCTTTTTAATACTCTTCTGACATATGTTTGCGGTATGATTATTAGCAACCTGACCAAGAACTTCTACTTGCATCTCTTCGTCCAAAATATTGGGCCCCTCTTTTTTTTATTTGCTAGAGATTCTGTTTTTTGGAATTTTCTAAACTAAATCTCTCACATAAACATGACTAACATTTCTGCTAGGATGTATTTCATTAAATGCAAGAGCTGTTCTTAAATAGCACATTTCTTGCGCACCATAAAGAAAAATAATTTCAATTCTTTCTTCCTCACTATAAACCATTTTTGAGAACGAAAAAACTCAGATAAAAGATAAACTGTCGACTACAATTAAAAAATAACACCTCTGATTTTTCCTCTGCATAGTCGTAATGTCTATCCTTAAAAATATAGCTTATCCAGTTTATTAAACGAAAATAAAATTCTCAAAATCAATCGTTTATAAAAATGGCCACACATTCGACCAGTTGAACGATCGAATCGAAGTTTGCCTCTTGTTTAAATCCAATATTTTTTGAAGATTACTTCATAATACCCATTCCTTATCAATCGCCCTGTATATATTATTTTACATTTTTCAATTAAATCATTTGTTATGCATAAACAAAATTATATTTTATCCTTTTCTTTTGTGTATATTTGTAAAAAAATGTAATAAATATATTTCTTAATGTAATGAATCATTTTGATTCATATTGTGTTTGTATATATTATAAATGTGTAAATAAAAAATCAATTTTTTTCAAGTTTTTTTTTATTATACAGGGTGTTTCAAAAAGGTATGTCATAAATTCATACTCAGATAGATTACCAAAAAATAAGTGGATTTGATATAGGTAAATATATACCTATATCAAATATTGGCTCCCAAGAGTTACAGGGTGTTAAACTACTAACATTCAGAAAAACGTTTTTTTTTTTTGTACAAAGTTTGCTGTTGCGATTTTTTCTTCGAAATTTTTGCCAGTGTTGTAGATTTGAAGGCCCAATATTCTAAGGAGAAAAAAATTTAAAGCGACCCCTTTAAAAAAAGTTGAGGGGTTGGATACCTTTTAACCCCCCCGTATTTTTTTTACATAAAGAAACTTGCTTTATCGATCTTAAAATTAAAAAGAACTATGAATTTTTAATTTTTTTTTTACAGCGAAATGAACTTTCTTATTTAACGAGCTATTTACAATTTTTTAACTGAATTTCTAGAGCAATTCGTCCGTCCTGTATTTACCATCAACAAAACTAAGAGTAGATCAGGAGTTATTGTATAAAACACACATATAAAAATCAGTGGTGTGCCTAAGGGCTTTGCTTGAACCGCCCCTGCAAAAACGTACCTCTTTTATTTATAGTTTTGTATTCAAGAAGGAGGAGGACATGTTGAATATTTACTAAATTAAATAGTTTATAAAATATGTATAATGTTTTTTTTTTGAATTGTTAATTTTTTTGTTGTTTAATTAAAAAAATTATTTTTTTATTTACTATTAAATTTAATAAATACATTTCCCAACTAACGTGTATTTTTATCAGTGGCATGGTGAACCCATGAGGCACACCATTTTTATGGCGCCAATTTAATGTTATAAATACCATTTTTACAAAAATATAAATATAGGCAGTTTTTGCAGGGGCGGCTCAAGCACAGCCCTAGGCACACCACTGATTTTTAGTTTTGTTGATATGTTAAGTCCAGGACGGACGAATTGCTCTAGAAATTCTGTTAAAAATTTATAAATAGCTCGTTAACTAAGAAAGATACAAAGTTCATTTCGCTATAAAAAAATTTGATTTTAAGATCGATAAAGCAAGTTTCTCTGTCAAAAAAAAAAAAATATGGGGGGGTTAAAAGGTATTCAACCTCCTAACTTTTTTTAAAGGGGTCGCTTTAAATTTTTTTCTCCTTAGAATATTGGGCCTTCAAATCTAGAGCACTGGCAAAAATTTTGAAGAAAAACTCGCAACAACAAACTTTTTACAAAAAAAAAGTTTTTCTGAATGTTAGTTTAATAATATTAACGAATAAGATATTCCTGGTGAATATTACTAGTAAAACTGGAGACTGGCTATCACTTTGAAGTGTATAAAATTAAAAAGAAAAAGTAACAAAAACTATCAGTGTTGTTGACAACTGAATTCTTTATTAATATGATTATAAATTAAACATCAACATTTTGGTTACAAGGTAAATTTAAAAAGTTATGTCTTGCAACTGAATTTTTGCAAAGTTTTTTTCAAGTATTGGAGAGTCAGATAGTTTAATAAACTATATAGGAAGTCATTTGTTATATTTAAAATTTTATAACTCTAATTGTCTATCAGGTTCTTCAAGATTTAGTTTTGCTTATTAACAGAGAAGTAGTGTAGGCTCTATTATAAGATTCAAAATACTCAGGCATTATCCCATCTTACCATCATATTCTAAGAATTCATGCCCCTAACAGGGAATGCCATTTTAATTATCACCTCTGTTATATACTGAACTTGTTTTTTTTTTTTTTTTTCACTTACATAACTGCACACATTTGTGTAAATTTATAGTAACTTGTGACATTCAATGGTTTTAGCTGATTTGAAGGCTTAATCATTTATTTTAGGTATGGATTCACATATTAATCCCAGAATCACGTTTTTTGCCATCCCTGTACCCTTCAAATATTTACATTAAAATTAGTTACTGATCTAAAGAAAATTATTAGAAATTCAACTCAATAAAAAAATAGGATTTAATTAATATAAAAAAATATACACAAAATCAAAAGCTGCAATAAGTTCTGTTTTACTTATATATTTAATTCTAGGCACAAGCACACTATAACTGTTCTAATTCACTAGGAATGGGAATTTTATTTGCAATAGCAAAGCGTTTAAGGGCTTCATATCTGTCTCTTATTTCTACCACTTCGCTTCTCATTGTGATAACATCGTCCTGCATTGTCTCCACATCTTTCCACTCCACTGTTTTAACAGTTTCCAATTCATCCTTTTGTTCAATTCTTTTTATTCTACAAGATGCTGCATATCCCCTATTCTTTAGTGTTCGTCGTCTCTGTTTCATACGAACTATATCATCTCTAGATAGGCCCCTTAATTTGAGTTGTCTGTTTAGATCCCTTACTGATATAGTTACTAATTCATCATCAGAAATATCAATTATTGGAGGTGGGGAAAGAGGCGCCTAAAATATATTATTAAAATACTTGTTATATAATATATAAATACAGTACTTACAAGTTTTCCACTCTTTTTAGAATGGTCTGATGCCATTTTCTCCTTTGTTCAACAAAATATATCTGCATCGATGATACTGCGCCCTAAATTGTCTTGAAAATTGCAAGTCATCGTGGATAATTAGCCATGGTCACGATTCAAGAGGGTCTGTTTTTTTTAAGGGCTTAAATATTTTCGAATGTATAATACTCGATCAATTTTTAGTAATATTTTTGAAAAACCTATAAATTTCCAAAACAGTATAATTTAAAATAAACAAAATCTGAATTTTTGAGAGTGACTAAGCTTTAGCTTTCCTTAGTATTTAATCGAAAAAATATATTCTACGGCTTTTTTACAAAGCATGTAGCCACAAGTTCTGTATACAAGCCTAATCTTTATAATTTTGGCTCTTAAAATGTATATTTTCAAAGATTTTATAGCCAAAATAAAAATTACAAAAAATAATTCTGTTGGAATTCGAATCCTGGTTTTCGGCTCATTAGTCACATTCTCATTTTAAATGGCCTTTCGCTTGGTTGGTTTTCAATAATTATGATTTTATGGTTTACGAAGCAAACGTAAACAAATATTTAAAAAAGAAGAATTTAAATAAGAGGTTATATTTATAAAAATTTAAAAAATTGTAAATAAATAAATACACAAAATCAAAATATATTTAAATTTGAGGGGGTGCAGTAAACTAGCAATAATTGACGAATTAGGAAATATGACATTGGGAACACCCACAGAGGTTCCCGCTGAGCAGGTACATGCCAAAAGTATCATAGTAATCCATCCAGGTTCTTTAAATTTAAGAATTGGTCGAGCATCGGATTTAAACCCTTTAACGACATTGCATGCTATTGCAAGAAGAAGATTACCGGGTGGTATTCAATATAGAGATAGTTTTTTGCCTGAAAGAGTAGACCCTAATCTTATTCAAGAGTTAGAAGAGGCCAGGCTAGCAGTTTCTCATACATTGCAGTCATGTTTGCAATCGGATGGTAGAAGGAGGTATTTTTAAATAAACTAAGGGCCAGTCTTTTCACTATAGTTCGCTAATCTGTCAAGACACTTAAGTAACTCAGAAGTGAAAAGATCGGCCATAAGGACATTTTTTTATTTGATTGTCTTTTTAGATATGCTACTCCCCCACAACAAATAGCTGCATTTAATCGTCGATCTCAACCAGAACTGGTAAACAACAGTGGAGGAGAATGGATCAAGCCTGAAGGGGATGTTGTCATTGGTAATGACATTTTGAGGCTTGATCCAAAACAAGATTTTAATATTCATTTTCCTTATAAACGAGGCGATCTCAATGTTCACTCAGGTTCAGGTAAATATAGATCACCTGATATGGATTATAAGGTTATAGAAACTATACGTAATGTACCTACTATTGTACTATTATTAATTTCTAAAGGAATAACAAAAGGTTATATTTAAAAAATATATATATATATTTCAACAAAAAATTGTTAGAATTAGTTTAATAGGTAAAAAAATGTTTAAATTAAAACATGAAATAATAATAATTTCCTGTTCCTGAAATTTATGGTATACCTAAATTAAAAATCTGATGTGTCCAACACATGACTTTCCTATCTAGTTATTATAGGCTTTATAGGCGGTTATTTTGTACAACCTATTATACCTCCTCTATAAATATTTAGAGAATAAACTAAATATATACATTTTCCACATACATTTAACTCGAAACATTTTTTACAGATATTCATTGAAAACGAAAGTACTGAAAAATTTAAATTTAGTACTTTTCTCCAATTTTTCCATTACGGTTCATTTTCGAAAAATCATGTAAAAACAAAAATTATAGAGATCAATATCGCAAACAACTTTTAGTTTCTTAAAAATCAGAATTTTGCACATTTTGTCAAATTTCTCGAATACGGACCATTTTAGGAAATTTTGACATAAAACAAAAATTATAGATAATTATATTAGAAGTAACTTTTATTTGAAGAATTTTCTTCTCCAAACGTAAATAACAGATATATTCCATAAAATATAAAAATGACCACCTATAAAGTACCCCCCCAGATGTTCCGACTCTGCCCAAAATCTAATCAGCTCATTGGACGCTGAAACAAAGCTTAAGTTGAAAATTTGGTGTTTTTCTGTGTATCGGTTCATGAGTTATGCGTTATACACAGACACACACACACGCACAGACACACACACGCACACACACACGCACACACACACGCACACACACACACGCACACAGACACACACACGCACACACACACACACACACACACACACACACACACACACACACACACACACACACATTTTATGTAATTTATACTAATGGATCTTTAGTAATATATCGCACTCCTTTTTCAATAGTGCCATATCCCTTAAAAAATTTAAATTGACTTTTTTGCCCAACGTATACATTATGAACATGCCTACAATATATACAAGTGCCATATCAATAGTTCTAATAAATTCCGCGTGAGGCGCCATCAACAGTACTGCCATATCACATATTTTTTTGTTTTAGGCTATCTGTGTAGATTTCACATTACATTACATGTACCATTAATCAGTAAAGACATCTTTAATCAATATGTATACCAAATTTGGTAAGCACAAGTACTGAAGATGCTGCTCAAAAAATATTATATACACAATCATTTTTGTTTCACTTCTCCTGTAAAATTAACCTTTAAATTATTTATAAGACTCAGAATTTTTTATATTGTTAAATATGCAAACAGAGATTTGAAATCCTCGAAAAAATCAGTCAAAAACCAAAACAAAAATTAAAATTTTGTCTCATTTATAATTATTATTGATTTTTTTTTCATCATATTTTTGACTGTTTTATAAAAAAAACAGTTATTTTTCTTTTTAGTTTTATTTCTTAACTATTCCAATGGTCCAACTAACATTTTTTTGAAATCACAATAAAAAAATTATTATCATGGTCCAACAAACGCGCACCTTTAGCCGAAACCGGCATCGCCGATAAAGATGCCGCTGCGTACATTCGTATTTGGTCTATAGGTAATCTGTGCCATGGGTACAGCAGGGTACAGCACGTCACATCCTCACAATTCACAATGAGGACAGCGCCCTGCTTGTGATGTATAATCCATCACATGTGTTTATCTCTTGCTAAGCGGTATTGTCGTTGTCCTTGTTTTTCGCATCATAATGAGAGAGAAAACAACAGAGGTACACATTTACTGTGCCCTGTGCCCTTCCACTTAACTTCGGAATTCTCGCAACGTCGCTCAACGCCATAGATAAATTAATAATTATCTATGATCAACGCCCGGTCGTCCAGTGTCGTGCCAACGCGCTTTGCGCTGAATATTATATAAAATAATAATAGGTATTGAGGAAAATATAAAATATGTGTTATTTTTTTTTTGTTTATTATACTAGGACACTTGCCCAAGTGCCCTTACGGGCAAACCGCCACTACTATTGAAACAGGAGTGTGATATATATGAGTATATTTTTTTTATTGCTTGAGATGTCAATATTGCCTGTTAAGAGTTGGTGGCTGACATTCACCTGGCTTTTTATTAAATTATTGCATGAAAATTAATTTATAATTTGATAACCATATCACTTTTGTGAAATCTTTAAATTTCCCTACAATAATTTCAATACATTAAGTAGAATAATACACATTTTAGGAGGTTCACTGACTGCTGTAATGGCAGACCTAGAAGCGATATGGAGTTATATTCTAGAAACAAATTTTCAAATAAGTAAAAAAGATTTAAAGTTTCACAAAGCTGTGCTAATAGTACCTGATGTGTACAATAGAACATATCTAAGAGAATTGATGTATTTAGTGATTAGTAAAATTGGATTTGGTCACTGCTTTTTGGTACAAGATCACGTTGCTGCAACTTTCGGTTCAGGACTGAGTTATGCTTGTGTAATAGACGTTGGAGACCAGAAAACATCAGTATCATGTGTCGAAGATGGAATTTGTCATCAGAATACTAGGTAATAACTATTACTGTTCATACTTTTTTTTTTGTATTATTATTATTAATAAGAAATGTATTATGTCAATGTTATATATTACATTTTTACAATGTAATGGTGTGATTCACAGTGGGATTACAGATAAACTCTAAAGAAGAGGCCATTGGACAATTTGCATTTTTTGTTGTTGATGTAACCATAATGTTTAAAAAGGACTTTTTAAGTGATAGAAATCATTATTTCAGAGTTCGACTTGACTATGGTGGTGGTGACATAACTCAAATATTTTTCTGGCTTCTTCAGAAGTGTGCATTTCCCTACAAGGAGTGTCGAGATAAAAACAAACTAGATACCATGCTCCTCCGAAAGCTAAAAGAAGATTTTTGTCATGTCAATTTAGACATCTGTGGTTCCCAAGAAAAATCCTTTGTTCTAAAACAACCTGATATGCCGGTTTATCACTTTACGATACAAGTTGGAGATGAATGTATCATAGCACCTTTAAGTCTTTTTAGTCCCGAATTATTTGCTATTACTGGAACAAAGTTGATTCATACTCAGAAAATATCAACTGGAGATCCTGAAGATCCGCATGACGAAATATATTTAAGGGATATTCGTAAAAAAGGTAAAAATGAACAGTTTTTTTGTGAATATTTTAATTAAATTATTTTGGTTTTATAGGTATGAAAGAAAGCTTAGATACCGCAAATGCAGATCTTTTAAATGATACTTACCTGGACAATCAACAAAACAACCCGAATGAAGATGATATAGTAGTTGATGCGATGGATCCTGTAGTGCCAACTTCTATTCGGGAATTTGTTACCAATCCAGGACAAATTTTGGGCTTGGATCAAGCTGTTCTTCAAAGCATAGACAGGTGTCCCAATGAAGAGATTAAGAGAAAAATGTATGGATGTATTTTAGTTGTAGGAGGTGGAATGAAATTTTCAGGCAAGTGGTGTTTACATTTGTTATTTTCAGCTTGTTTGGAAGTTTCTTGATAGAAATATTAAATGTATTATCAATATTTTTTTTTAGGTATTGGTACATGGCTTCAAAATAGAATATCTCTCCAAATACCATATTTATATAGAGCAGAACAACTAGATATAGTCACAAATCCCAGAGATATGGATCCATCCATGGTAGCTTGGAAGGGAGCGTGTATAATGTCATGTTTAGAAACTGCTCATGAATTGTGGATTAATGCTGAAGAATGGGAAAAATTTGGTGTTCGAATTTTAAGAGAAAGGGCTCCTTTTACTTGGTAGTTTTAAATTGTAGATAGTAACTTATTTATTTTGTATTTAATTTTTTTAATAAAAATATTTTTAAACTGTACAACATTAATCCACATTCTTTCTAATAACAATCTGTGATTAAGTGTTAAATGCCTTGGCTGAGTATAGGAATGAAGCTAGGCATTATTTATATAATACATAAAAGAGCTAACGTATTTAAATAAAAACTATGTAGTCTAGATACCAAATTATCATGAAAACCAATTGCTCCCAACTTTATTAAAAGTATCTCATGATTAACTCTGTCAAACGCCTTGTAGAAATCAAATAGAGTAATTTCATGAGAAAACAAGTTAGTAGTTGTGGACTTTCCCCCCAATAACCCATGCTGGTGATTAACAAATATAGTTTTTTAGAATTGATAGCCTACTCAGTAACCTATTGACCATTTTTAGGGATGTGCCTAAGGGAGCGGTACACTTTAACTGTATTTATATTACAGTTACATGAAAAATTATCAGCTATACTGCCATTCTCTTTAAGGGGGAGAGCTGGAAAGAAGTCTTTTAAACGGCTTTGGATGGTTTGAATGAAATAAAAATATGGCTTGATAACAGTCTTCCGAGACTCAATATTATTCAGAAAGGACCTTAAATACTCTACAAATCTATTATATATAGAATTAGTGTAAATAATATAATAGGTTATTTAATTGTCTTTAACACAAAATACAGTAAAAAACTAGAAATAAACGTAAGAGTACAATTAGCCGACGATGTAGACCGTTTTTAAGCGATGTGATAGTAAGAATGAATATTCCCTCAAAAATTCGTTGTTTTTCTTGTATCTTATTCATGTTAATATAAAGTTTCATTCTAGAAACTAGAAACTCCCAAGAACAGATGCCCATACAAAGAGTCACAAAGGAACAACAGGACTGCTTTGTGTGCTAATTTACTTGACGAAATCCCAGTGTTTCAAATCTAGAGCTACAACGATAACTTCTGGAAGCTACAGGTATGAACGTTTCAATTGAAACTCTAAGAAAAAGACTTCGCGCACCAGGTTTGTACAGTAGGAAAGAGTTACAGGTCCCACCGTTATCTAGGCAAAATGAAATTGACCAGCTAAATTGGTGCCTCAACACCAAAACTGGACAACTGAGAATTGGCAAAATGTTCTTTTTTTGGATGAGACCAGAATTGGCCTAAGATCAGATGACCATCGAATTCGGGTTCTCAGCGCTCCAGGAAGATGAGCGAGACTCCACGCTGCCAGATATGTCCCAAGATATCAAAGAGGAACTGTAATGTTTTGGGCAGGTATTATGTTGGAAGCAAAAACTCCACTTCAACAAACTTTAACCGGTCCGAGATATGTTGATTTAGTGCTAGAACCAATCGTAAGGCTTTGGAGATCTGCAATTGGGGATAATTTTATCTTGATGCACGATAATGCACCTCCCCATACAAGCAGAGTGGCTACAGAAGGTGTCACAGTTTTATACTGGCCTGCATGTTCACAAGATCTAAATCTTATGGAACACTTGTGGGACCAGCTCAAAGAAGGATTAGAGCTCGTCGAAACAATGCAGGAAATGTCGCACAGCTTATTGATGCATCATTAGCAGAATAGGAAAACATACCCCAAGACAATGTTGACAAATAAAAAGCATGCCAAGGCGAATAGAAGCTTGCATAAGGGTTAGAGGTGATAACATGGATTGTTAAAATTACCAATTTTCTTTCTGTTTTTGTTTTTCGGCTATTAAAAATTTAAATCTCATTTCGTTTCAGAAACCAAAAAAATACCATTGTGTTTATTTTGTCAACTAATTAATTATTTTTATTGCTATGTGGGTTATTTGTCATTAAAATGCTTAGGTAAGGACCGAGTTTTATTCATAAACAAAAAATGTTCATACATCTCAAAAATTATGAAAAATAATAGATGATTCCATACCTATAAGTTTGGTTGTGTGTATATACCAGTTCCCTTTTTAAAAATTGCACACACAAAATTTTATCTACTATTTTGATCCCAAGATATATAGCGTAACTCTTGCATACATATCATATAAATAAACAATCTTTTTTTTTTTTTAAGTATTTGTGCAGAACAACTACAGTAAAATAAAAGAGTAAAATATAATGTTTCATATTAATTTGATTTTGCATCATCACATGTTAATTTAATAAAACCAATATTGACCTTTCTTTTAGTTCATCATTTATTTTTATTTATGTTTAACATTCTTGGAATGGTTGTATTTTTATAATTTTGTATTTCTAAATTATTTATTTTAATATTCGAGATATAATTTAAGTAACGCTTAAAACTTTTTGAAATAAAATATTAATGATTTTGCACACAAACTTTGTTTAGGCTGGTCTAAAATATTAATAAAAATATGTAAAATGTATGATACTTACCAAATTGGAGTCGAATCTTATACACAAATTACCAATTAGGTCGCTCTGGTGATTTAATGGTCATGGTGTTGGGATAGCAACCTGAAGATAACAGGTTCGAAGTCTACTTCAAGACAATTATCCAAATGTTTTCTGGTTTGTTTTCACCCCTCGGGAGTTTTTGAATTTATGCCTTCATTCTATCTCCATAAACTTTTTTAAATAGTCAATATCGTTAAGCGTGTTTTTAATAAAAATGTCACGTTTTACGTGCTCTCTAATAATTATGGGACTATCTATGTCCCGGGGGTTAAATAACAAAATATAACAATAATTTTTTTTGGAAAAATAAAAGTTTAAAAAAATTTACGTATGTATAGAATGGAACGTAAGGATCTCAAAAAGATACCCTGTTCCCCTCTAACAAGACTAATTAAAAAGTTGGGGCTCATTTCTTAAAAAGTATCCAACATAGAGAGACGCAGACACCAGCAAGACGTTTTAAATCGTTTACTGTAACGTAGTGCCGAATTTCATGAAGATCAGATCAGAAATAACATTTTTCCATACTTACTCGGTTTCCGTTTCAAACTACTAAAAGTTGCAATTTCGTTGACAAAATTTTGGGATAGCAGAAGAACGATGAGATATTTAAGTTCCTTAATCCAATTACTATAAAATTCAGGGTAACGCAAAATTAAGTGTCTTCATCAAACTGTCAATACCATTCAGGGTAACGCAAAATCGACGGATTTAAAAACTTAAATATCTCCTAAACGGCTTAGGATAGAGACGAACGACAAAGAGCACTTTAATCTATCTATTCGGCTCTACGTTTTGAGCAAGTTTAGAGAATGATTCGACTATTAATAACTGAGGAAAATTAAAAAAAAATAAAAACCTTGTCAATAAGAAGCAACTGAATCCACTCCTTAATTTTCATTGTTCTCTTTGATATGTAGCCAAATTTTCATTGAAATCGGAGACAAAAAAATTTTTGAGAAAATTTTTTTTTAGTAATTTGATTAAGGAACTTAAATATCTCATCGTTCTTCTGCTATCCTGATACCAAAATTTTGTCAACGAAATTTGCAATTGCAACTTTTAGTAGTTTGAAACGGAAACCGAGTAAGTATGGAAAAATGTTATTTCTGCTCTGATCTTCATGAAATTCGGCACTACGTTACAGTAAACGATTTAAAATGTCTTGCTGGTGTCTGCGTCTCTCTATGTTGGATACTTTCTAAGAAATGAGCTCCAACTTTTTAACTAGTCTTGTTAGAGGGGAACAGGGTATCTTTTTGAGATCCTGACGTTCCATTCTATACATACCTAATTTTTTTAAACTTTTATTTTCACAAAAAAAAAAGGAAAGGGTGCCTTCCAAATTTTTGAGAAAAATTTTTTTGTCTCCGATTTCAATGAAAATTTGGCTACATATCAAAGAGAACAATGCAAACTAAGGAGTGGATTCAGTTGCTTCTTATTGACAAGGGTTTTATTTTTTTTTAATATTCCTCAGTTATTAATAATCGAATCATTATCTAAACTTGCTCAACACGTAGAGCCGAACAGATAGATTAAAGAGCTCTTTGTCGTTCGTCTCTATCCTAAGCCGTTTAGGAGATATTCAAGTTTTTAAATCCGTCAATTTTGCGTTACTGACAATTTGATGAAGAAACCTAATTTTGCGTTCCCCTGAATTTTATAGTAATTTGATTAAGTAACTTTGTTCGAGAATGGATTTATTTTCTTTATTAATTTCTTAATTTAAATTCGCGTTATCTATTTTGACACTTTGCCCCACCTAAACGGTTCATGCTTTGGACCTTTTAAAAGAATCAAGTGACATCGATGTATCGCCAACAAAGTAACAAGTTCGTTCGCCGTCGCTTAATATTTGTGCCTTTTTGCTTCATGTGTGCCGCTCGCCGATCAGTCCAATATTCCAAAAGGTAAGGTGTCAAATACGTTATTAATTTATTTAGTTTGATTATTTGAATCAGCCCTTTTTGACAGCATAACATCCGTTCTGTTTCATTTGGTCCTTCTTGCCTTTTGTTTAAATAATTAAAACGATTTAAAGTAATTATAACGTATAAAATTCGATTTTCTTTCATTTTCACTTTTTTTTTGTTTTTTATATATACTCGCTTGGAGTATATCGCATCTAGCTTCAAATTATTAACGCAGAAAAGATATTATAATAGGTACTTAATAAAAATAATAATAAGTATTGCTTAAAATTTAAATTATTCAGGGATAATAATTTTATTATTGGTCAAAAGGTGACTATTTCAATAGACATATTTTACTTTTTGTTAGATCGTAAAACGAGATTACATTTATTTTTCGATTCTCGACCTTTGTGTCACCGTCTCAATTGCGCATATCCCAGAATTAAGCTGTATACGCCTATTATTGCCATTTGCCTCACCGCTGTCCATCTATCAATATATTTGTATCTGCCTCGCACTTCTATTTTACAATTATTGGACATCGTCGATTGCGCTCTGTACGGAATTTTTCGATTTACTCACTTCACTGTGAATTTTAAACCGCTTATAGTGTTGTTCGTTTACCTGATTTCGTAGATAGGTACTTTTATTATTTAAAAGTACGCTCGCTTTGGCTAGATTAATTTGTTTTTGTGAATTAGAATTCGAGTTAAATATTTTTGATTTAGAAT